CCTCCTGAGCTTAATTTTCGGTTCTCCTTCACGGAAAAGTAGAATATTGGCCAAAGGAAGTTCGGAGCTTCGTCGTTGATGTCAAGCACACGGATGCGGATGAGTTTGTCAGAGGGGTTTTTGGCCTCGTCCGTGCAGTGGATCCGAGCCACCAGCATCTGCGTAGTCTCTCTGTCTATTGGAGCCTCCAGACTGAGGAGGAAATCGTTGTTGACGGGATAGCCATCAGATGCACCGAGCGGCGGCTTAGCGTCATCGGTTGGCGTCAGACGCCTCAAAGAGAGGTTTGAATTATCAAGTACAGTGCATTCCACTCGGTCACGTCCATCGAAATCAGGATCACGAGCCTGAATGTAAGCCAGGCGCACAGGAACGGAAGAATTCTCTGTTATCACACCTGCGAGAATAAGGAAAGCAAGGTGTACATCAGATATAAAACTGTGAAGAACTTGGAATGTTTATTAAGATAGGCTTACGAAAATATTCCCTCATAACTTCAAGCCGTCTTATGCAGTAGGGGAGGAAAAATAAAGCCGAAATATCTATCGAACTCGTAATAAACTCTTTGCTTGGTAAGCGACAAAGTATTCGTCCTGGGGTTGAATCGTGTTTCACAGCAGTAATGGCTGGCTCCCTACCGTATACACAACGGCAGATGAATTCCAATATCACAGACTCATATAATGCAGTCGAACATCCGGACAGTTTGCGCTTACTTGCACATTTTTATTAGTAATTTGCGGAATCTACCACAAGCAGCAAAACAGGCAATTTGCTACGATAGTCCATTAATCGGTATCTTCATGGTACAGCCTCTAAATCAACCGTGTGTGGATATTATGCTCATAGAATGTCCGAATAATGTGCTTGCTGGAGGAGTCTGGAGTCTTCGACGGATGAATCAATCAGTAATAGTATAGATCTGTCAGTACATAATCCGAGGCCTCGCGAACAACTCAGCTGTGCAGTCGCAGGCCATTTTCGGTGTCCATGTGTATGTGGTAGTGGTTTCTGCCGTAATCCCAACATAGGTACTACTTAAAGGCTCGAACATGTGTTTCGCCAGTGTTTCCGCTGCTGCTTGACACAATTTCTAGGATTTCGGCTACTTAGTCGGTACCCTAGCGTGCCGCCAGCGTTTTCCTGTTTAACAACTCCGGAGAACAGAGAAGTTAACATATGCGCGATTTATTAAGAGAAGGACTTGAAGTTAGATGCCAGGAACATGACCATTTTAGAATCAGCCACAAAACTTTAATGAGCAATTGAGCTGAGGGCACGCAGCGTCTGCGGAATAACCACATGGTGCTCATTCTGCAAACGAGTAGTATCACTCGTGGTGTAAACTTAGATGGCAGTGTTCATATACCAGAAACCAAATAGAGGACCATGTAGACACACTGAGGAGCCAAATCTCCGGCAGCTGCGTCATACATAAGCAGAAGCATCAGTGGAACACGTGTATGTGATTTTGGCCGGCATCCGTACTGGGAGAACGGTAGAAACCACTGTCGTATGAAGTCATACAACTGGTTGTATAAATTGCCGGTAAAATTTCCACCTTCGATTCAAATATCATTGCACATTTCGGAGCTGATCCTGAAAGTCATGCTTCGGACGCCCAAATTAAAGTCCCGTCCTCAATTATTTGCGAATCTGATACAGAATTGTTTTAGGGTTATTTTACCTTCGTTTAACCCATAATGACCCTGATCCCCATCTGGGACCAGAACCACGAACGTGCGTCCGAACACGACGCGGACGGCTCACGGGCGGCGTCTATCAGATGGGCCATAAGTGCTTCATCGCAGCGAAATGTATCAGTGTCTCGCCATCTGACATTGTCTGTCGCTGCAGATTGGATATTTATTCAATCAGTCTACCTCCCTTCTCTGTCATCTCCCACCCTGTTAGCTTGGCTGAGTTCGGCATGGCAGGTGGTCGTCCCCTTCCCACCTCTGACACCCACACAAAGCTTGTCCGCTTCGGGAAAACGCTGGATTGGCGTGTGCCCATTCCTTTAATATATACATATTTATCGTGGGAAGGGACGTACACGGATCAGGTTACTGGACATGCTCGTCCACTTGCGTCTTGGGTTTCAATCTAGTTTAGCAGGCAGTCGCGTAGCGACCAGTAACGATGGAAGACTTCGCTCAAAGGCTTTCTTTCCTTATTGTAAACTACACCTATGCGCGCAGGCAAGAAAAGGTAACTCATCAAAAACCTTTGTGAATACTTCGGTCTTCTCTGGTTTTCCTCACAGTTGTCTAGGATTGCTCTGGGTAATCGTGTCGCCACAGTTACTATCAATATATTCAGTATTTGTCGTGTACATATATAAAGCTACCATTTGTCTCAGCCATTCTTCTTCTTCTATGGATCTTACACCTTGTCGGTTGTTTTTTGCGCTATCGCTCGTTTGATTACAGTTCAAAGTATTTGTCATATACTTCAGTTGTTACTTATATAATCCATTGGCAGGTCTTGATAGCATACTCTCTGCTTAAGACTTTCTACCATAACGATGGCACTACCGGTGTATCTCCTGATTCTGCACTAAGCCCCACTGAGATTCACAGATCTAGTCCGGTAGTATCGAGCATGATAACTCCGTGGAGATTACGAATGTTGAAATGATAGGTAGAACATAGTGCAGCCAAAGATTAGATTAGCAAAAATGCAGTTTAAGTCACTAAATGATTTTACCCTGCCCAAAGTATCAGAAGTCCCAAGTACTGTTTTTGACAACAGGAGTAGGCCTTGGAAGCAGCGTACATCATTAGTAACCAAATGAGTGATGAAAAATAAAGCGCGCAATTTATGACTCCTTCGTATAAAATAGTCCTACGACAACCACTGCGTAGGTAGTGTCACAAAAACTACGGAGAGACACCCAGACGCAGCAGAGGAAAGTTGAGGGCATTTCGGGACTTATTACACGGTCCGTGCATATGAACGCGAAACTAACAGACGGTGATGCAACTGCTATTATCCCAAAGGCAGTTATAAAATCAAGCCACTCCTTGATTTTGTAAAACGAACTTTGAAGCACATGTTGCGGAAGTTACGAACATCATCTTTATCTTGGTCAAGACAATCACATAAACGACTTAAAATTAAGTTCATCCATAACCAATGCACGGTCTGAGCCTTACTTACTAGGGTGCGTAAGACCAAGTAGAGTCAAAAACACCGTAGACATTCATATAGTCTTCAGGATCGCAGATAAAATTATTCCTGCTAATTTCCAAACAGGCAACTGTTTTTCGAAGCTTAGCCTGTAAAGGCGCTATTTAACTTCCAACTTCCACTTCAGAAAAAGACGATAAACTGCACCCTTGTGTCTCACATCATAACTTTGACGGCGATCTTATCAACGAACACCATTGTTCTGACAATATAATGCAACATAACGACAACAGGGCACTATTTCTATTAACGATAAGACGTTTTCCAGTAAACTATTATTTCCGAAAACGGAGAGGATTTCCGGTCAAAAGGAACTATTGGAGGAAAGTATAAGTACGCAAAACAGAGCAAAAGGCGTCTTATGTGATTTTCGTAAGTTTTCCCTTATTGTATTTTCTACGTATATTCATAGAAGAATCCTATAAGCCGACTTAGCCAAAATAAGCTTCACCTCCGAAATACTTCCCAGCGCATTACATGCGGCTTGCTTGTTATCGCGGTTCTATATTCATAAAAAAACTTCTCATTTTATAACAATGCTTTGAAATAGATTTGAACTTTCGAGAAATTAAAATCCCAGGAGCTAAAGTTGAAAGAGATTGCGCACACTTGAGGCATTATCAGGTTCTGCGGTAATAGTTGGGAAATCGTTTACCTTAAAAAGTTATTTACTGAAATCGGCGAATCTATTTTTTGCAGTTTCGGAACTGGAGTTAGCACTTATCTACGGAATTCCTCGCTTTGAAAAGAGGCGATATTCAGATCAGGATTAGAGGGTATGGAAGGATAGATGTTTTCCTCAGTTGTTTGGAGAAAAACAAGCATAAACAGACTGGTCGCCCAAAATGCGAACTTTTGTGAACGAGCACACATGTAGATATATAGACAAATGAAAGGGACCATAACCGTATTTGTTTTTAAATGACGTTCGAGGGCTTATTTCAGCTAGAGGGCTTAAACTTCTATTAGGATGGCTGCAATGCTTAGTAATTGACGCCGATTGCTATCCAAAGTTTTACCAGAGTACAACCAGCCACGTAGGATGACAATTTCGGAAACATATATTGAGATTGCAGAGGAAGTCCGGTTCAGTTTTAGATCTTCACTGGCAACGTTTTTCATATGCGCGTGTCTGAAATCCGACCGACCAGTTACATAAATTTATGCTGATCCTGGGACGTCCTGTGAGCAAAACGGGTGATGTCAGTCCGTGTTAACTTGTAGAGTTTCAAGTACAAATATTATGCATGTAAACCATCGTAGGGCCTTACGTACCAGCATTTGAGTTCTATGAACTGAAAGAAAACTACCCTTTTGGCAAGACACAAACTGTGATGCCTATTTCTCAGCGTGAATTCTGCGGAAACAATCTCGAGTGTGTGAGTTGCAGTCAGTGATTTCACATAGGGTGTAGGGGTGTTCAGCAGTGGGCCAATGTGACGGTCGTAGTAGGTCGCTCACTTGCTTGCAGGTGTAGACTGCGCCTAGTGTCCAGTTGGTGACGCCGAACTCTCACATGTGGCTCCCCGAAGATAGGCTCTGCCTAGCGACCACACCCCGGTAACTACCTCTACCCACCCATACCCTACCGTCCTGGATCTGACGAAAGCCTTCGACACGGTGAATCGCGAAGGCCTGTGAAAAGTCATGTTGAATTTCGGCTGTCCCGAACGATCCACACAGACGGTGAATCAGCTCCACGATGACGTGATGACGCGCGTCACGGACAACGGAGCTGTCTCAGGGGTATTCGCAGTTACCATCGGAGTGAGGCAGGGCTGAGTTCTGGCGCCTACCCCTTCAGTCTCATGTTCTCTGCCATGCCGATGGACTCCTATCGTAACGAACGCCCCGAGATCCGCGTCGCCTACGGAACGGACGGTCAACTGCTTAATCAGCGGCGGATGCACCTCCAGTCGCGTGTATCCACAATCACCGTTCACGAACTTCTCTTCGCCGACGACCGCGCCCTGAAAACCACCTCGGAAGAGGACACGCAAAGGAGCATGGACCTCTTCTCCGCCGCCTTCGAGAACTTCGGTCTGGTCATCAACACGCAGACGTCGGTGGTCATGCATCGACCGCCACCCAACGTTGCCCACAATACACCACAAATCAGCGTAAACGGAATCCAACTGCAAGTGGTGGACAACTTCACGTATCGGGGTAGCAGTCTCTCCTGCAGCATCAAAGTCGACGATAAAGTGGCCCGCCGGACATCCAAGGCCAGTCAAGCCTTCGAGCGCCTTCAAAAAACAGTTTGCAATCGTCACGGTCTTCAACTCGACACGAAACTGAAGATGTACAAGATCGTCATCCTACCGACGTTGTTGGTCGGAGCAGAGACCTGGACAGTGTACATGAAGCAGGTACGCAGACTCAACCACTTTCTCGTCAGTTGTCTTCGTCGAATACTGAAACTGGGGTGGCAGGAACTGATCCCAGACACGAACATACTGGAGCAGACGAGAATCCTCACCATCTACGCTATGCTGAGACAACTACAACAATGCTGGTGCGGCCACCTCGTACGGATGGACGACGAGAGGCTATCCAAACGGCTCTTCTATGGAGATGTCGCGACGAGTTCCCGCCGACAAGAAGATCAAGTCCGGCGCTAGAAAGATACTCTGAAAACCTCCCTGAAGCGCCAGCAAATCAACCCGGCAAACTGGGAAGACCTCGTCAGGGACCGATCTACGTGGAGGAGAACGATGAAGACAGGCGCTGCAATCTTCGAAGCCAACCGCATCACCGCCGCCGCCTCACAAAGCCAACGCCCAACCGCCTCCAATGTGTCCACGATGTCAACGGACATTCCGGACGCCAATTTGACTTGTTGGACACCTCTGGATCAACTGCAGCACCCGGACCGCACCAACCGTCGTCTATCCGTCCACCTCTCCCACGCCGTCAAATAACGTTGACCGCCCTCCTCAACCACCACCACTACCACCCTCCAACTCCTCCTCTACCGCCTCAACGTCTGTTGCTGTGGCGCCTGTCATGCCTGTAAACACTACACACAATACTAATACACCAAAAACACCAACACCCCCACCGTCAACACCAGCGATAAAGACCCGATCTATACCTGTCCGCATTGCGGTCGCACCTTTACCTCACAAATTGGCCTGGTCGGTCACTTGCGAACCTATCTCACAGAAACTGGCGAACCAATGCCTGAAGCACCAACCTAGACTCGCCGCATCCGTATCTACTGTCTACATTGCCCTCGCACAGTCACGCCCTTCATGGGCCTATTCGAGCACATGCGTATCCACGAGAGCAGAATTGACCGCAGCCTCGACACACATAGCACACCCAGCACACCCACCATGCCTAGCTCAACCCAAACCCCGCCGTTCAGCACACCCACCACAATCAGTTCCACCATCTCCATCACCGAAGCTGATACTGACACCGCCGACTTTTCATGTCCACACTGTCTCCGTACATTCGCCTCACTCGTCGACCTGATCGATCACTTGCAAATCCATCGCACAGAGACTGGCGAACCAGTGCCTGGAGCGCCAACCTACACTCGCCGCCTCTGCCTTCACTGTCCACATTGCACCCGCACATTTATTTACCGCACTAAAACCTGAAGGACAAACAAATGATTGCTTAGGATGTGGCACAGGTACGCCTATCCGTCAAAAATATACACAGAAGCATCGTTGAAATCATTACAACATCCTTGAACTAGACAGAAGAACAAGGTCAAGGAGTCGTGCAGCAGTCTGCCCCACTGAGATAGAAAGATAAATGCTCCTTCTCAGTCACTTGGTACTGGTTTAAGAAACTCGGCATCTTGCGATGACAAAGACGTAACTGCATGAGTTTTGACTAAAATTAGTAGGAAGCTTAAGCGACAAAGACAAGGACACTGAAATGATCGTTTCTAGTTCATTTACCGTAATCAGCCAGCAGGTACAGAATGTATAGCCTGGATTCGATCCTGCGTCGGCAAGTCGTTGAATAACGCGCTCCCCACTGCACTACCAGTCTTGCCTCATATCGACTGAGATCGGGAGTAGGTAAACACAGCGGTAGGCATGCCCGGACCTGTTCCGATTACAGGACGGAATGAGTACTTGCTCTTTCTTTCTAGGACTAAGTACCTGCAGTCCATGTTGGCGGTCACACGGAGACTCACAATCAGTAATTAGCAGTGCTGCTTGACAGAAAGGGGCACTAACATAGTCGCGAAGAAGGAGACACAATCACTGGAGCAAGAGCTTTATTAGCCTGGCCTTCCAGGTTCGAGTGAGAATCCGGAACGTCAGGCCAATAATGCTCTTGTTTCATTGATCGTGCCACCATCTTCGCGACTACTTCCTGGAACTCGCCTCTTCGCTTCTATTGGCAAACTAGCATAGTCATTTCAGGCGCATTTACCGTCATTGGGCAGTACTGTCTCAACTCAAGGTTCCGCGGCCTCGTCTCGAAGGCAAGACGCAAATGTCCATTTCTTTTTTGTAACCAGGATAGATCGATGTATGCCGCACCCATATGACAGAATTTAAGTTCAGTCTCCCTTGGCTGTACATAGGCGGACCGCGTTTAAAGAGGGGTAGAAATTTCTTTAAACAACCTTTGATATAAATAATATATCCCAATGTCCGTAAGAAGGCACGCCCATTGCACGTATTTGATAGTTTATAGATTGCTTCCAAATGCCAACTTACTAAGTATTAACAGGAATGCAACATACTACGATGGACGGGTGACTACCGAAGAAATCATTGTCAATAAAAGAGAGGAGGAATTCATTTAAAGCTCTTGCGTGCAGGAGAAAATAATTGACAACGTAAATACGTCTCCTTTTTTCAGTTTTGTTGGTTATGTAGAAAAATCGACCGCCGAGGAGGTAAATGCGATTGCTGGAACAAGGATTTTATCTGTCCGACATTTAAGATTAGCTACTGAACCGTTCATATGAGATAGGAACAAAGAATTCTAATGAGTGGCTTACGCGATCGAGTTTTCTTCTCAGCTGTTTCTCGGATTTTGCTTTTTTGTCTTATCGACGAATATATTTGCCGTAAATAGCGATTAAAGTTCCGAAATCTTGGTGTAAGAGTACTAGAACTATCATTCAGAAAAAATGTCATCCCTCTTCAGTCTGTCATTCAGCAAAGCGAAAGTGATTCTACGTCCCTTTATCCTCTTCCTTCCCTAAAAAGCTGCTCAACTGTCTGTCATAGTAATTAGGCTGAAGGCTTCGTCCACAAAACAGGACTTGTCTTGGGCGTCATTCAGCACTTGCTTGGAAAGAAAATTCCCGTAATATTTAAATCCGTAAGGTATGCGTCATTTTTTCGGCAATTTCCGGGTTCACATCTCGGCTATGATTATGCAGACAATGCATAATGCACAAAATTGCCCCTATTTCCGTATCTTTGCACAAAATTTCGGTCTGGTACTGAACGCAAATTATTTATGGCTTCCCAGTACTACTTTTATTTCATTAAAAGTGTACTCCACGCGCTCGACTTATAAGAATCACTCGCAGCCTAAGTTAACCTCCCTTGCCCCCATCGACCATAACACGTCGACATCGTCATGCTGGTGGCATGGGAACCATGAGCGTTAATAACCCCCGCGATAATTATAAATCCTGTGAACGTCTCATAATTTCAAGTTC